AAACAAGTAAACCAAAATGGCTGATTAAGAAATACTTCAAACGAATAGTTAATTTATTACATAGTAATAAAGTCAATCTGATTATACAATACAAGAGACCTATAAATAATCTTATTCTCCACTGGCCACTGGCTTGAAGCCCTATGTTCCATTGGGGAACGTTAAGGAAATAAAAAAATAGGTAAAGTGTATTACCATGTTCGATTCAGAACGACCACCATTTCATTTTGTATACAGAGACCTGGTTTATAAACTCTAACAGCACAAGCCTACACAGTTTCAAGCATCTTTTTGTTTGTTGATCTGCTGACAATAATGAATGACTTGACAGAGCGTCAATATATTGTCCGTACTCTACAAGATACTTGTTTATCGAACTTTTAGGCAGTCAGTTGTTTTCCACCACTCTGGGAAATGCTCAGTCATGAGAGTAGACAATCGCCTTTCTGTACGACTTATGTGTTTGTGTCATTCCACACTCACACACACTCAATCCATCATGGTAATATACCTTACATATTAACTGTTATTATTATTTGATTCAACACCTCTTATTATTACTATTTCTGATTCATTTAAAACTAACTGTTATCATCACTATTTAAAACAATTAGTTTTCTTTATGAATTTAGATAAAGCAATAAGAAGGAAGACATAATTTGTCTGAATCGTGTAATGTGTATTTGCGCAACACATTTCGAACAACCTGATCCATCACACACCGACTTGTCATAGAAATACATATATGAAATAAATAAACAGTTAAGAGATGAGAAAATAGACTTAGGTCAACTTAAAAGGACATATTCAAGGTCAAAATAACAGCAAAGACCACTGAGCCAAATAGCAGAGGTAATAGCACATCTGCTATGGTATCAAAACAAAATTTACCAAGGAAGTTGGTTCAGTGTGATGACGGAGTGTTTTCGAACGCATAAAGGTGGCTTGAACTTTCTAATTGCCAGCTACGGCTTCTACAAACTTTAGGATACGCCCCAAATACACGTTTTATAGATAGGTTCAAAAGGTATTTTAACGTCAATTTTATGTCCTGTCTGTATAATATGTTTCGCAGTAGAAGAGCTGGGTCTCCTGTTCTCACCGTTAATAGGTTCTGAAGATTCCATTTGTTTCTGGAGCCATTTAGGAATATGCTCTGAAGCCAGCCCTTACATGCAGAGATCGATGAGTCCTCCCTATGTATTTATGTGTGTCCACACGTACATTCAAATTTGTAAATACAGTGGGATGTGACTTCATTTTTTGGATGTTCGAAGGGCTTAGCTAGATACACTGGCTTTACATTCTCTATTATTATGGTATTAGCTGCATAAAAAGTCTTTTTGACGGTGGCTTTCAGTCTTTGTCTAATTATCAAACTTCTTTGATGCCCCATATAAGGTAGCTTGATGTACACGTCTTTCTTAGGGGCGAGTTGGAGAATGGGTCTTGGTGTTCCACTGACTACTTTATATCTCCTGATGAACTTGTCTGGATAATTGTTATCAATCAGGGTTTGTGTCAACTTCTTTTCTTCTTCATCAAGTGTGTCTTCAGTGCATATTTGTTGTATCCTACTGAAGAGGCACCTTACTAAGGCTCTTTTGTACCGAACAGCGTAGAAAATGTGGTAATTAATAAACTGTCCTATCCAAGAAGGTTGTCTATTATCTTGACTAATTTCAACATTATTGTTATTAGTACCATTATTTTGATATATATCCATATAATATGTTTGTTTGTTTGACAGTCTGTTCTTGGTGACATGTATCCATATAATATGTGTGTTTGTTTGACAGTTGGTTATATTCTGCTATGTATACATGGATCGATATTCCATTATAATTGGCCAATCATGTTAAGACTGTCTATTGATTTGTTCATTTTGAATATTCGCTCACACGCTTGTTTCACACACTATTCGGACATTCATATTTGCTCTCACACTCTTGTGTGACATTTTTGATTCTCCTTGTGTTTGGAAAATAGAAGTATCGTCGCAAACCTAGTGGTCTTCTGATTTCCGTCTTTCTTGCGTCAGAACTATTAAATTCTCGACCAGCACATAACACTATTCAGTACGTGGCTTGTAAGGATTAGATTTGTTTAAATGAGTTGACCGCAGATTGATATCAGTTTTGGGAAACATCGGTAGTACGCACGCACCACCGAGGTTCGAATCCAGGACTTTCCGGTTACAAGGCAAGCCTGCTCGTTTACCATTCAGCCACTAAGACCCACCTGAATGGCTAGTCCATGAATTCTAACTTCAACCAATTCGTGATTTAGCACCACCACCACCCAATGTCATTATTAGAAATACTACCTATTATCAATACTCTTTGGTTTACAATTCCTAATATCTTATCAGTCCGATATCTCCCAATGTAATTCTATTGGTATATATGAATATCTCTGTATTTGAAGAGAGTATGCAGCTGAGGAATAGTTCTACCGAAATTTTATGAATTCATTGAATCCTACTTTGTGAACAACTCTTGCTGCTTGTCTTAGCTTCATATTATGAGATATATGTGCCTCCAATTCTACGCACTATTTTAGAATTAATGAAAAAAATATCTTCTCAATAAGAAAATTACCTTTTTCATTGAATAATTATATTTCTCTATTTTTTGTTGTTTTTATTGTTTTAAATTCATTTATTTAAATATATATATATATTTTTTTTATAAGATAAGTAATATATAATGATTTGAAATAGGCGTTAACAACAAGAAGAAAGAAGAATTCATTGAATAAATAAGAGGCAACATTTTGTTTTTTGACCAATAGTAAAATAAGTCAACAAATCAGCCAATCAGATTAGCCTAGCGACTTCACCAAACGACCAATCAGAGATCAAGACAAAATGCAATAGTAAACAATATCAACCAATAAAAGTGGAAATTATTACATAATACAATGTAAAATGTAAGATGTATTTACCACATAGATATATACTCTTTTGCTTAAATTTTAAAGCAGTTTAATTATGTGCACATATGTATGTGTGTGTGTGAATGAGAGCGACTAATCTTCTTGGCTTACAGAAATAGACTAAATGAGAAAGGAAAAATGATCCTCATAAAGAAGAGTAGTTAAAATTTTGAAACACTGATAGGGCGGGTAGAAACGAAGAGGTATTTCTTTTACAGGGCAAAGAAATTACTGACAGTAAGTATTACATGTGACCATATGACCGCCTGTATACACACGATATCTCGATTGTACACGCTTAACAGACAACACATATTCACACACAGAGAGCATTGAAGAACCCAGTTGAAAACTTAGGGATCCTATCTGTCTTCAGTGCATGCAAAGATACATCAAGTGATATAATAGCTAGAGCAGACAATCAGAAAATAACGGTTCGGAGAAAATCGTTTAAAATACCCCCGGTAAATTACAGTATCATGCAGCAGTGATAAGCGATAATGCGCACACTCAGCAATCCAGTCACCCACACAGACAGACAGACAGACAGACAGACACACTCACGCACTCAGAGATAGACTATTGAATAAGTAAGCTTTGAGCAAAAATGTTACACGACTCAACAAAATCAATAATCATTGATAAAACTAAAAATCCCTGAATATTTTTTTTGGTTTTCAAATGTATATATAAAATATGTCCATAAATATGTTTATATGAGGATTAAAGTGGTGTCGTGTAGTGTGGTAAGGTATGGTGTGGTGTAGGGTCTAGTTCGAATTGTTACCCAGTAACAATAAGAATATGAACAGTAATAAGGAAGCTTTGAAGTGAATTACACAGAAGAGGAGAGAGATCAGAACAAGGCAGGCTGAAAACAGGTGACAATGCATCCTTCTGATTGCTTTTCTTAAGAAAGATTCAACTGAACTGTCGACAGAAGGGAGAGGGGAAAGAGGCATGAGAAAAAATTGATTAACAGTTGAGTTGAGTGATTTTACTAACTAGGCGCATTCGCATATCTTGCTAACGATTTTATATTGACTATTTAATCTGCACACATATCGATAGGCACAGAGAATAGATTGCACATGCGTTGAATATACCAAGTACCTTTAAAGAATAAGTCAAGATGAAGTTGAATTGACGATATTGTCTGTCAGATTATACGTTTTGCTTAGAAGACAATCGTCTTGTCGTGTATACAAACGCAAAGGAACAGAGCAGTACTGGACAACAGGACGATAGTAAACACGAAAAATAGCCCGCCAATAAATACTTCTTCTTCGAGTTCTTCTTCTACACAGGGAAGTTCTACATGAAAATTGAACAACGGAAGCATAGCACTATGAACAGAGATAGAAGATAGAACAGAAAAAGCGAAATGAAAGCCAAGTAATTAGTTAGTTATTCAATAGCTAATTGTTGTTGTCTCTTGTTGATGTTGTTGTTGTTTTTGTCACGATGACGCAATCAGTGGATGTTGTATGTGTTCCAGCCATCGACACACACATGCATACATACATACACACAAACACTCACATATACATATGCACATGAATTACACTTGAAGAAGACAGAAAATACAAACTGCAGTGAGGTTGTAAAAATTTCAACAGAAACCGAAGATTCGTACAGGTAGCAATACAAAGGGAAACGAGAGGGAGGGACTGTGTGTTATGTGTGAGACGGGATTAGAGTCATAGCAAACAACGAAATAGCAAGACACGTGTACACATTTACACATATAGAAATAAATAAATAAATATCTACACATGTATTTGCAAGAAAGAGCGAATATTTAGAAAACTAAAAAACGAAAGAAGGAAATTTTACAAAACTTTTTTCCGTGATTATTTCTCAGTAAGCGAATTAAACAAACAAACAAATCAATAAATATATAGATAGATCGATAAATCAGTTCGTTTTCAACTCCAAAAACATCATCATATACCATCACCATGATCACCAACACCATCAACATGATCCTGATCATGATCGTCATTGTGATCGAGATCATTGAATAAATAATAAATAATATTATAATTAATAATAACAATAGATTATAAAAGATCTAATTTCTTTTTTAAATCATTTCTCTTCCATTCAGGTAGACGTTGAAAAGCTTGAGGTGACATTTTAAATAATTGCTCAAATTCATCTGCTGATAAATGGCACTATAAAAAATAGAAAGTGAGAAAATGAAATTGTGGTTAGTGATACTTTTGTTACAGGATTTTTGTCATGTGCTGACATCGGTTAGAGTATCATTTGAAAACCAGCCACAGGGATTACTTGACAGCTGTTTCGTCAGTCTAGTTTGAGACTAATTGGTTGTATGCAAACACCGGAGTACGAAACCAGGACACCTTTCGGTTATAAGAGGAGCTAGATTGGAGGCTATTAGGCCTTTGAGATCCGATCCATGGCCATTCCATGAATTTAAACTGATACTCATGCTACTTACATTCATTGGTGAGTAGTCACTATGCGTCTCCTACAAGGTGCAAGCTGAATTCATGTACGATATTTGATAGTTGAAGGGAATCTCCAGATTTTTGTGCTCGTTGACATTCGTCAGTTGGCAAGACGTACCTGTATTTCTGGTATTCGAACCCAGGTTACCTAATGCTTGGTAATTAGAGACGTTGAGATAACTGGACTAGCAATTGACCTCATATAGGACTATAATAGATACACTAATTCGACACTAGCTAGTAACTACTTTCATGTAGGCTAAATTCTACCACAAACATGTGTGTAATGTGATCACCGTGCTAAGAGGCTTACTCTCACGGTGCATACCGAATCATTATGAGATAATAAGAATTCAGTGTCCACTGATCAAAGGACTAGACACATGATATTCTGTCTGTTTTCGACATAGAACTTTGCATCGGTGCGCCACACTCCCTCCTTGTAGCACACAAGGCAAGAGAAGATAGTAGATGAAATGCAAAATATAGACAGTAAACAGGGATATGAGACAAAAGAAATAGTAATATCGAAGAACAATATAGTTCAATTGGAAATTATAAGTCACAAGGAGTAGATGAGTCAGCGCCACACATTTAGAACGACTTTGAGCCATATCACTAATTATCTCAGTCATTTGTTTTTACCATCTCGAGGACCCCACCCACAAAAACTACACCTTCCTACGTGGCTGGCTTAAGCTAACTGTTGTGGATTTCACTAACTGGTGAAGCCATGTTTCGTTTTGACCTCCAGCTGCTAACATTGCTCGTTGAGGAAGGCGATGACTAAGCATACGTAACACATGTATTAACCATATCAGTCGATGTAATTTCACAGCCTCGTCGATTGATTTCCCCTCTCTAACTAGAACTCGGCACCTAACCTCAATATTGCTCACTTTATTATACAATTTCACACAGGAGGTAGAACGCAGGCACCCATTATCAAAGACAGCCAGCCAAGGTTTTCATGTCTTCCACTCTCAATGATCACGTTTCACTCACAACCATAAAGGAGGGTTGAGCGGACTACTGAGCAGTACAACCGCCCTTTGGTCGACAGCCAGCCGGATATCACGTCTACATAAGAGACGACATAAACTGACATATGCGAAACTAGCCTTCTGTATCCGTGCTGAGATTTTATCAGCGATCAACCCGTTGGGGCTGGCTGATGCCACTCCCCAAATAAGTGAAGCGGTCAACGTGCTCTACCACTTCACTCCCTATTTCTAAGCTAGGAATCCATGTAGTCCAGACTTGTAACATAATCTTACATTTGGTGGGAGCAAATCGCACGCCAAACATTCGTAGATTTCAGCTGAAGGTGTTCAGAAGACTCTGTATATTGTCAGCGTCTTCACCAAGCAGAGAGGGCTATTTCATCTACATATTGTAACTCAACGTGATTCTTCCCTGGTAGCACATGACACGAAAGTGTCCATTATAGTCCTACAACAGACCAATGGAGAGTTCAGTTGGTAAGTCTCAGACTACAGAGTATTGGGTGACTTGGGTATGAATCCCAGAAGAAATAGTAGTCGCTTTTAGGTTGCTGATACACCCCAGAGACTGACAAGTGCTAACACGCATGAAACCTAGGTATTTAGAGTTTTCTGCCAACTGACTGTAACATCAATCCAACACCAATTCCTTATTAGCTTGACAATAGCCAACAGTGAAATCTATGCCAGTAATCAGCTGTTAGTGAATGCATCTCTATAAGTGGTCATTTTACACTACCAACCAAACATCGCCATTATCATCCCAGTGTGTGTATTAACAGATAGTTTGTTCGAAAAACAGGTCAAGTATTTCAATTTAGTGATATCAACCGAATGCTATTACGCTTCTGTAATGATTCAGCTCTGTTAGGTAAACCTATAAAAAAGAGCATAGCAAACTTGTACATAACAAAAAAACCTGATTTTCTAGTGTATAACGAGAAATACATTACATGCATCAAAGATTACGGCTGAGCTTTCATCGGAACCCAATCCTTTGGTACAGACACAAATATATAAGATACTCAACGCTCCTGATCTTCTGTACTCTAAACCAGAGGTTGATGAGGACAGTGCCTTTACAAAAACAATAAAGTGAATGTCATAAAATTGCGTGAAGAAATCCAGAAGTTTTGTTTAGGAAGTTAATTAGATCCTATATCTTGTAGACAAGTTTTCTTTGAGGACATTCTAATGGTTGAATGGTCTACGAACTCGCCAAGAAACCAGATAGTCCTTGGTTTGAAACTCGATGGATGCGGGCTGATGAAGACTCCTAAGCTAGGATGAAACAGCTATCCAGTACTCCTTGGTTTTTCAGCAGTTCTCTGTATGATATTATACGTGGTAACGTTGAGCTTTGAAACTTCAGTTGCAGAGATTATAGTTCTACAGCGTGGGATTGCTAGCACCATGCCTAAGCTTTCTCCCTTTACGAGCTTACTAATAGTTAGTAACTAGGCAGTGTTTAGGAGTGAATTGGTTGAGAATCGAAACTCAGACCTCCCGCGTAGTTGAGTAGCATTCCAACGAGTGGATCACCAACACAGGTTATACCACCTGGATACTCTACTTAAATCAACTGGCTGATCGATATTCTGAGAACTCTACAAGTATATTTCTCTATTTTTCTTCAAATACTCTTTCGAAGGTGAAGTGAAGAGGTAGTTGCTAGCTTCACTTCCATTCTTCTTTATTTTCCAGCCACACCGTCAGGTTAGTAGCCTAGGCGGAGTTTAGCAGTGAGAAGAAAGGACGAAAATAAACGTTGATTCATTCTATTAAATCACTTACTTCTAATTGTGTTCTATCCACTCCTTTCAATGGCTGATTTGAAGAAGCTTTTAATACCTCATAAGGATATATCTATAAACCGAAAAAAAGTCATAGAAGACAAACAGAATGAACATTTTTAGGAAATAAACATCAAAATAATCATCAAAAGAAAAGAACAAAAAATTCACACAATGTTTAGACTAACTTGGTATCGATGTAGACTTTCTATAGGGAACCGATCGATATCATTTGGGGAATCAATGAAAAGTTGTTTTATTCTACCTAGTCTGAGACTATGGAGTAGTCTGCAACAATAAACCTCTTTTACCATAGGCTGATACAAAAACTCAGTGTCACCAACCAAGAATGTCAATCATTCACTCATTGAAATGTGTAGGCTTACTTCGTGTTGTCATTAGCACTTGACTTTTAGGTAGGGAGTGGATCCACAGATTTTGAAATTCTACTTCCTTCACCCACTTTATGCTGGAAAATCGAATTATCTCCTCATCGTGTTTATGATCCACCTTCATTTTCTTCTGTATATAGGCTCAGCAATAGATTCTTCGTTGGTTAGTTCTTAGAGTTCCCGTTGTTAGTTCCTCCTAGCCACCTTATTTTTAGCATATGGTGATGCAAGTCTAAAGCTTGTTTGAAATACTTTTCGTAATGCGTCGAAAGAATTTAGGTCTGTCTTGCCTTACTGACGTTCACTTCAATATCCTGATCCTTGTGGTCTCGCCTGTCTCTGAGACGATGATGCCTAATCAGTTAGGTGTAAGAGACAACTTCTTTTACATACCTGCAGTAGACAATGACTGATGCTGGTTATCTGTGCATAGGTATCTCCATTGCCTCCGTCTTCTCTATGTTCACTTGAAGTCCATCCTTTAAGCAAATCCTACCGTTCGATTGATTTATCTTCATGAATTAGTTTATAGGGATTCTATTTGTTTCAGTTCGGACCACGGATTGGTATCAGTCAGAGAATCACTGAAAACCAGGGAGTAATGGACAGCTGTCTCATCCTAGTGTAACAACAGAAGACAAGGGCCAGGCAACAGATCGTTTTATTATGAAAATCAACACGTATTTATACATATTTCAGACAACATTATTATAGACAAGCGCAGTCATCTGATTGGTTGTTTAGGTAGACAAACGCAGGCTTCTGATTGGTTGTTTCGGGATTCCTTGACAAACAGAGTTCTCTATCTGCGAATCATATTTTGCCACGTTAACTTCGCTGTGATTGGTTGTTGACTCAGCCTTGTTCACGGCCCATATTAGTGACCTAGACCTTAACGTAGATTAGTGCCAACCAATCGGCTAGCAGCCTGCTCTCACCACACTCGTCCCCCCGTCAAATACGTGCGACTGAAGTCGGCTTGATCTACTTGGTGCAGGCGTCATCGTTGGCTTGTCTCGCTGTATCCATTTCTGGAGCTCGCTGACGTTCACGCGCCTCTTCTTGTTCGCCATTGCGACTGTGTCTGCGTAACCCCATCTCGAAGTGACCATATACGGTCCTTCCCACTTTGGAAACTGTTTGCCTGACCCTGTCGAACATTCGTCCATACTTCGGCTCACACTTTCATATGCTGCTTTCACCCGACCTCCCAGCAGCGTCCCAAGTAGCAGCTCCATCGTTGACAGATCTTGAACGCCACTCAACTCCGCAGAAGCCTTGAAGTCCTGCCCGAAGATCCATATGTCTCCATCGAAAACAGCAGGGCATAGGCTTTCCATTTGTCGGTAGGCAGCGACACCAAATGTAACAACAGAAGACAAGGGCCAGGCAACAGATCGTTTTATTATGAAAATCAACACGTATTTATACATATTTCAGACAACATTATTATAGACAAGCGCAGTCATCTGATTGGTTGTTTAGGTAGACAAACGCAGGCTTCTGATTGGTTGTTTCGGGATTACTCGACAAACAGAGTTCTCTATCTGCGAATCATATTTTGCCACGTTAACTTCGCTGTGATTGGTTGTTGACTCAGCCTTGTTCACGGCCCATATTAGTGACCTAGACCTTAACGTAGATTAGTGCCAACCAATCGGCTAGCAGCCTGCTCTCACCACACTAGTACGCAGCACTCACCCACCGAGTTTTTAACCCAGAACCTTCCAGCCACAAGGCAAGCTCGTATATTATTCAGCCACTGTGACCGAATTGAATGGCCAGTGCGACCACCGACCCATGTTCATCGGTGGGACATCCATCCCACACACTTGACTAGATGGACTTCACTGGTCACGACTTATTCACTTGCTGAATACCAAATATTATGAACAGCTGAATAAAACTGACGAAATTGAAAAGATTCTTTAATTATACACTGCCCCGATACTTGATATTTTCAACTTTATATAAAGATATCGTTCATTTCCGAATCATTTAAAATGTACAAGTAATAACTGGTGTATGTGAGATTTTCTCTATAATTTAACGCACTATTTTTGTATCATAGTTAAGGAGGATTATTACTTGATAAAATTATCTCATATGTCTCAAATAAACATTTCATTACATAACCTACCTTGAAAGACTTTTCATGTCTTGATACAGACGATGCTGTCGGTCTTAGCCAACTTTGTACAGATGGATAAGCATCAATATCCATCAGATCTGGATCAGTTAAATAACCTAAACCACTACCAACACCACCTGCACCCCCACCACTGCCACTGGTTGGCACTGGAGTACTCGTTCGTCCACGTCGACTAGTTGAATAGCTTTTCGCATGATGAGAATAATGATGATATGAAGGGAGACCAACTGGTCGTAAACCTGTCACAGAACATGGAAGACCAGCTAAAGTACCTGATTTCATGAAATAACCATTATGTGGACTAGTTAAGGTAATATCATCACCGGATTCAGCAATAAGGCCATCCATTGATAATCCTGATGTTGTCACTGCAATAGATAGACAAGAAAAAAAAACCAAATAAAATAAAATTATTACTTTTTTGTGAGAATCGAAATGTTAACAGTAAAAACATACTGAGCCTCATCGGGGGATGGGAGTCTTAGGTGCGTACTGATGAAGATTACGTAGCCAGGACGAAACATCTATTCAATACTCCCTGGATCTGACCTGAAAAGCATAAATATTAAACCAAAACAAGGTCCAAAACAGACATAGGCCAAGGAAAAATTATCTCGTGAGTTAATCAGCCTTAATTTGTCTGTTAGGTCAAATTCCTACACGACTAAGTACAGCAAAAATGGTGTTCACCTCGTTAGTCTTGTATTTTTAAAAACACATGTATGAAGTAAAATTGAAAATAACAGTGGTATGTAAGGAAATTGTAGGTATCCCATAGATCGACATAAGAAAATGTTAGTAGAAAACAATTTGGGATAATTGTTTTTGTGTCGATTCAAGTCACAATTCATGATGACGCAATACTGTATGTGATCTGAGACTAAAATCAACCAAATGAAAACTTACTGAATACCTTTAGTCTTTAATTATACAGTTATGCCCTTGAGTGTCGAAATGTAATCCCGACCGTTTTATATTTAGCTTCCAGTGTATTTCCTTCTTTACGAAAATGAAGAGATATCACAATAGATAGATTTACGTTTCAGGTCAGATAGAACTGTGTCACACAATCTACACTGAATTAGTATGTTATTTTGAAGATGCTGGACGCAGAGAAAATATCATGTGAAAAACTCCACTGAGAATTCTGTACGTTATATAAACGTTGTTCAGAACGTAGCTATTACTGTTAAAATCTCATGTACTGGGACACATTGCCACTCATTATTATGCTTTATCTGAAGTTTACCAGAAACTGTCGAATCAGCAGGTTCCAAGCATTTTAAATGCTAACAAGAGTAAACGATACCATCATTAGAAGTCATGTTTTAAACGATTAAAACGAAGTGTACATGAGAAATTACATGATAGAGACTTTCTGCGGCCACCAAAAAATGCCAGAATGATTACTAAAGTTGCTAGCCAAAATAAAAGTAAATTAGACTGGCAGAGAAAAGTGTGATCCATACAATGTCCTATCTAAACAACGCACATGAATTATTGTTGCATTCATGAGTTCATTGCTTTAATCACTTAACTTTGAGTCAGTATTTTCCGTGTTCGAACCCCACTATGGATACTTCTGCCTAGGGGACTCGGTAAGGTCATCATCACAGCCCCCATAACTATAAGCGTATCTGATAGTCTGGTATATACAAATTCTCTTCCATGCAACTGGGTTCTAGCTAACTAAGTGACGAAAACGTTTCTGACTGTTAGGAAAGAGAAGTATACACTCCAGAAGACAGTTAAAGTCAGCGGCTGAAATCCTTAAATAATCTGGCTCTGAAGAGGTCATCTTTTCTTCATTAATTGTGACAGCAACTTTCTTCACCTTCTTGTAACCTCTTCGTTTGTTTCTGTTCAACAATGTACACAGAACATTTGACTAACTTAATGCTTCGTCTTAGCCTACCTTTCACTTCAAGTGTGTAACAGCGTAGAGAATATTAAGGGCTGACAGTCACGCTAAAATCATGAATTCTTAGAAGTTGAAATTTATGAGCTGTTAAGTCGAGTTTCAGTGTCTGAATGATCTACAGGCTTGACGTTTAACCTATGGATCCTGGATTCGAACCCTAGAGCTGAGAGTCATACTGCCAATGAGTACCAAAACAAAGGCAATACAGCTGTCTAGTACTCCCTTCTGGTTTCCAATAATTGTCTCTCTGTGAAATTAATCCACGACTGAACTTGAAAAAAGCAAATCCCTACAAACATACTCTTGGGAATTAATCTGATGCACGCTAGTGACTGGTTACACGACAACGTTCCCTGAGATTCTAGTGAGAACGACTAACCACAAACACTCACCAGTGAAGTCGACAGAAGTTGGTATCCTCTGGTCCTTCAATCAGGTCCCAGTGGTTGATTAGTCTAAGATCCTGTGTTGGGAAGGTTATGGATTAGAAGCCCAGTGACTGCGTACCACTGGATAGTCGGAAACTGGGACGAAACAGGTGTTAAGTAATCCTTTAGGCTTCTCCAATGGTTCTCTAACTGATATCACTCTGCGATCATATTTGGTAGAAATATTAGGTGTTTCTTCATAAGCTGACAAAGGTTAGAAAACGATTGAAGAACCCCACCAGGGAGTACCAGATACCTGTTTTGTTCTAGTTTCCGACTATTTAGCAGTACACTTAAATGTATATATTAGATAGTTATGCCATATACACGTTGATAAAGTGTCTTTAACTTTTAAAGGCCAAAATAATTGTTGGTAATTATCAATGGAATTCACATGAAGAGTGATCAAAACAGTTGGGAAACAGTTGTGCACTCGATAATGATAATAATAATAATTATCATTATTATTACGAGTTCCATGCGGTACATTTACTTCTGATCTTTTCATTCTTTATATGCAGTTTGTCGTAGTACTTTTTTTTATCGATATCTTATCATCAATGATTAGGATGTCAACTCAAAAAACCCCTGTCTATTCGAATATCTAGAGAAATTTGTCAGTGAACCATTGAATTCTTCATGATGTTGTGAACAGTCAAAAAACGATTAAGCCAAAAACAAAAAATGCGGGATTACAAATTGGACAAAAATTCAAATAAAAGTGAAGTAGAGCCGTTAGGTAGTGTTGTTTCACACAGAGACCAAAATTACAGACCCTGCGGGATAACACAATCAGATGATGGAAAGTGAATAAGAGACAAAAGGAAGGTAAGAGGATAGGATAGCAAAGGATAGAGTAGGGTAGCGTAAGGTAGGGTAGGGAAGAGGGAGAATACAGGGAAAATTTAGGGAGAAAATTAATTGTCTTTGCACTCAATCACAGAATGATTGCATAACTAATACATACACACACAGTTATTGCACCACACCACATCATATTGCATCACAACGTCTTGCCTTGCTTTGCCTTGTATTCTATTCCATTCCATTGCATTTAGTTCATTTTATTATAATTCCGTCTATTTTTCTATTCATTCAAATGTATATTTTTGTTTATAAGTCAAATAAATTCACTCGACCAAAAAATAATTTAGATTTCTTTGCTTTTTTTTTTTCGTTTTCTTCAAGTGGAATTTTCATCAAATTTTTCCTTTCATATTGCGTAAATATTTATTTCCGTTATTTAAGTAGTTCAGTGTGTGTGTGTATATATGCTTCAAACGGGAAAAAATTAAAGGTTTTTACATGAAACTATTCATATACTACTGTTAAATTCAAATGAGTAGTGCTTGCTCGCCAGATTGAAGTGATCTAACCACCTGACGGTTATTTCATTCGTTTCGGGTCGAGTTCATCAGCGGTGTGATTAGTTCTACACGGCTCAGAGAACTGCATCACATATTCAAACCACCTGATTTCTGGTTAACTACTTATATGTCAAATTAATTTGCAATCTGTACAGTTCTATGAGGTGAAACCTCACGACTGCAGTTTCCTTTCGAAACTGAACTAATTCCAATTATATAACACGTCATCTGGCTAGCGATCACTACTACTCAATGTATTATTATCTATTATTATTGTTTCCTTTAGTTCCTAAAGGAACATCGGGCTTCAGCTACAACATCTCCATTGAGTTCGGTTCTCCGCCAACGTTTCCATCACCTTGCTCCACACGTCTGCTCACATGCTTTCAACTCCTCTTCACATCACCTCCTCCTTCTCCATGTCACCCGAACTCGCCACTTCCCGTTCGAGGTTCACTCGCTTGAAAGCCTGTCATGTGATGTCACTGATTTGGTGGTTTTTTTCTCAGAATATGGTCAGCCAATCCACCTAGCTCCATTTCTTCCTGCATATTTATTTCACAATCGGTTCCTGGTTGGTTCTGTCTTCCAGAGATCTCTGTTGCTCATCTTTTCTAGCCACTCGATCTTGAGTATTGGGCAAAGACAGCTGTTGATGAAGATCTGTAGTTTGTTTGATGTGCTCTTCATGACACGCCAAATAGCACTTGCTTCATATTGAAGTTGAAAATCCTCATCTTACTTTTCATGATGAGTTCTGTCGCCCTCCACATAGACTTGAGAGAATAATGAAAGCTTGTCTTAATTTCCTGATCATCGTTGCTTTGATATCCTCGTCAGTTCCGCCTTGATTTGAGCGGTACAAACAAGTATTCACTCCGTCGATCAGTAGTACACTGTTTTATTCAAATAGGTTTGCCTTCTTGATCACGATTCATGGTGGAAACAAACCACGTAGTGCAACGGCGAAGAATCTCTTTTCGGCAAATTCATTCACTTAGCAGTACACAATCGCAATTATATATATATATATATATATATATATATATATATATATATATATATACAGTTGTATTTACATATGTATGTTTACACATAACCTTTGTCAGACAAGAGTTTATTGATTACGTCATAGAAATATTTCAAAAAATGTGACAAATAATCAAATTGCAACCTAGAGGGCGCTGAAGATTGATAAAAGGGTAGTAGTGTGGTGAGAGCAGGCTGCTAGCCGATTGGTTGACACTAATCTACGTTAATGTCTAGGTCACTAATATGGGCCGTGAGAAAGTATGAACAAGGCTGATTCAACAACCAATCACAGCAAAGTTAACGTGTCAAAATATGATTCGCAGATAGAGAACTCTATTTGTCAAGGAATCCCGAAACAACCAATCAGAAGCCTGCGTTTGTCTGCAACCAATCAGATGACTGCGCTTTTCTACTTGCATAAGCTATAATAATGTATGTGAAATATATATAAATACGTGTTGATTTTCATAATAAAACGATCTGTTGCCTGGCCCTTGTCTTCTGTTGTTACAGTAGTAGTAGTGATGAGTTATCACTGCATAAAAGAAGTTGAATATATTTATGAAAGTTACGTAATAAGGTGAATTATTTGGTGAGTGAGTTTCCATTAGGATAAACACAGAAACGAAGGAAAATATAAAATTATGTGGCGATACCAAAGAAATACAAGAATTAGAAGGAATTAGAAAAACAAGCACACAAAAATCAAGTTAGTAGAAATCAACAAGATTGTTACAATGATAGTACAGCTGACGAGTCACAAATAGGACGAAATGCGCATCGTGGATTCCACTGTTAATCACCATCCACCAATTAGATAGTAAAGGTGGTTGAATGATTTTCGTTTGTATGCATAACTCCAGTTTTTTCTAACTTAATGGTTTAGTTTCTAACGGCAGAAGACAAGGACCAGGCAACAGACTGTTTATTGAGAAAATCAAGAGGTATTTAGGAGATTTTTGGATTGTTGCTGTTGTAATTCAGTGAGTTGATTTTTTATAAACTTTGCTAGGATTGTGTTTTCGAGACTTCATATAACTGCTTCTGCAATCAAACCTCTCAAGAACATTTCGTAAACACAAAAAGAGGCTAAATGAACATTCAGACACGAAGAGATTTAAACCCACCTGAACCTATTCCATCTTGTAGGCCGATTGTACGTGATTCAGTTCCACTGAAATTTGTATTAAGCGATTCTGGCACAGTGATGGTACGATCAGGACAATTGAGTACATCACCTGAGTAAGCTGAATGACTAACACCGACACCACCGGTGCCTGGATGAAAACTATGCCCAGATTGTGCTGTTCTCAGTGTTGTGGATGCAGATCCTCGGACACCTGAACTACTACCACCTGTATGTATATGTCCAGATAGTGTACTATTATGATCTAGGATTCCATCACCATTTTCAACACCCATAAATGGTCTAGGTAGGCTGACTGCTCGTCCATATAGTATACTTGAGGTATAACCAGGTCGAGGAGCTATAAAAAGTAAGAAAAAAACGTAAGATGAATTAGAGGTTAACTTCATGGGGAGGGGGATAAAAAGGCCTTCACCCATATGCGCATCCGATATTTCACCACGTACAAATCAATATTGTATATATTCATCCAAAATAAAAGTCTTTGAATGATGTGTGCGGCACCTAAGTCCTAGTATGTAGGAAATTCACTGCTATAACCCCCTTAACCCAGATATTCACCAAAATTCACGGAGTTTTCTTTTACATGTTATAAACCAATGGTTTTTAACTCAAAGCAGTTAGTTTACAGTGCTACAGATGAATTTTTGTTTGCTTACCGCTTGATTTCATACCGCATTTTTGGTACAAGTATGGAATTTTCAGCATGTGATTTCGGTAGCCCAAATTTTGCAGGCCAATCAATTGATATCAGGTGTGCGTCGGCAAAGCCGGCGAGAGTGCTAACCCCTGCGCCACCGACGCACCCAACGAAGTCTTTATAACACTTGAGTACCAGTTCGTTTTATCTCTTTACGTTGTAATTTTTTCAGAGTGTGACAGCTTGAACTCGTTAATGCCTATGCAAAGTGTCACTTGCGGATGTCGGTTGATCAGTCAGTAAGTATGGTTAAATATAAGGTGCCTTATTTGTAGGACAAAGTTAGCTTCACTAGCGTTGGTGTTTTCTGCTTACGGGTTGAGATTGTCAGCCCTACGTCCACTCTTTATTTTGTTCCAGCTTGACTACATGATTGGAGAGATTTGGGAGTATGTAGACTGGGAATCGAACCCGAAGTAAGTCCATGGTTGACGAGGAATCTACCATTCAGTCATCGACTTATGACACAAAGTCTGGTGATGAACAATGAATGATTTCAGTAGATGATACTAATTTCAGTGTAAAAAGGAGTAGAAAGTCCAAATATTATTCAATGAAGGAAGATTGATCATCCCGTTCAGAATTTTGATGATGATAATTAGGTGTCATTGGATTGTTGGATGAAATTGCCAGGAAGTCTTGGACAGAGGTTTTGTAATTGCTGCTACTTACCAGTCATCAAGGCGTATCTATAACCTTTGAGGAACTCATGTCCCTCCCTCTGACATTCGACTACTGCAGCCAGATAGGTTACCGCTGTGAGATTTGAGCTCTCAATTGATCTCCTGTAGGACTGTTTTCGACAACACAACGTAGTCTCTCTGAATGCAGCACCGAAAGACACAGATTCGAACCTAAGAAAGGGCATGAGTTCAAGTGACGTCACCAAGAATGCACATAATATATTCCAAAACACTCCAATCAAACAAACAGCTATCACCCCACGGACTTCATGAATCAATGCATTGACTTTATACTACCACTGTAAAAACATTTTTTTCAACTCAGTGCTAATGAATAATTGAGTGTATATGCTGATTAGCACTGGAGGAATTCAGGAATGTTGATTTCGTCATATTTGGGACTTGTCGGTTAGAGGATGTACCTACATTCCCAGTGACAGATAGGCCCCTCCTGGATTCCACTACTAGTTAACATTTACCGAATTACATTTAGTTAATCCTCAGACATTGTCACAGACTCCGTAATAGGCGTCAAAAATTTCAGTTCCATCAAACAATGGGAAAATCATAATCACTAGGAAGTTATATCAAAGCAATCAAACATGAAAGCTAGAAAATGTACTGATCTTCAAAATTAAGAGAGATATACAAGGGAGATTAGGGAGAAAAGGGATTAGGCACCGAAATAATAACCAAGAAAATAATACGGATTATTTTTCAAACCTCAAATAACAATGTTAAATGATTACATAAGTGTTAGATCACGAACGAATACCATTCAGAGTACTGAACATGTATTTCGTCTCAACTTCGGAGTCTTCAATGGTAGGCACATATGAACCCCTTTGGGAAGTGAACTCATGACTACCAGATTTTGGCATCAGCCCACTGATAAACGACGATAAAAGTATCACTAAAAATGCTTTGCTCAAGAGTGTTAGAGGTTTCCGAGACTTATTATATTATCGTATTACACAAGTTTATGAACTCATAGGTGCCATACTAGGTCAGTGATAACATCATCGATTACAGAAATGGTTGACACGGCTGCAGATATGTCATGAAGTTTTGACTTACTATACGTTTTGGCAGTCTGCTTCTAATCATTAGGCCATAAGGTCGAATCCTACCGTGATAGAACTAAGCAGCTAGGTTGTATCATCATTAGGGTTCACGTAATAGATGAATGACTCATTGCCAACTTCATAGCAAAGTCGAGAGTAAAGTGAACGAACTTTTTTGCAATTTTATTGGTAAAGGAGAAGAATTTTCTTTGCGGCCACATTGAGAGTAGTATTCTGCAGTCGCCTGCTGATCTATAGAGGCCCAAAAGACAAGATCCCTCACCGGACCACTTCCAAGTGTTTATAATAGTTCACCTGTTGCTGTGGAGCCAGGTACATCGGTCGTTCAACACACATCCTGTCAAAAAGGGTCAAAAGACACCATCCATCATGGCTGCAGAAAAGAAGCAGTGGTCGTACAAGGAGTGCAATAGTCGAACATCTCGTCAACACTGGTCATTCCATTGCAACAAACGCCTCCTGTTTCAAAGTAATCTACAAAGTGAAGAACAACCTGCCAAAGACAATATGTTTCCGTCTTCTTTTCATTGCAGAAGCCCTAGCCATTCAGTTGGTAGAACCAGAACTATGAATACAAAGGAAAATTATTCAATCACTTCTACTATCATGGTAACAACTCTTATGATTCGACTTAAATTTTGCTTGTTTTCTTGTTTTGACTTAACATTTCCTTGTATGCTTATCTTTCTAACTACTTAAAACTCTTGCGTAATTCCGTATGTTATTTAGTTTCAATATTAAAAAGCACAATCAAGTAACTTTGAGAGGTATGGATGAGGAAGCAAGCTAAACATGAACAACATAATCAAAAAAATAGAGAAAAATAGAAAAACTATCGTGCATAAATGAAACAGATGAGATTCACACACACACACACACACACACACCACACACACACTCTACAAACACACATACACACGCAAATGCATAACAATGAGCGAAAATATATCACAAATGTGAAGTTTCCATTTGTTAAAAGGATGCCTTTCTGAAGTATGAATATATGTACCCTCCGGATGTATGGAATCAAGCTACTGTAACATTGTTGGGAATAAATCAATAAACATCAAGGAGTATGCCACGCATATGTCACTGTTGTAATGGTAGAAGATAAGAGACTTGGTAAAGGAATGTTTCTTTGGAATTTGATATCTCTGTGATATATATAGGGAAGTTATGTACACCTTATAAGGAAAATCATGGTCTACACAGATCTTCCGTGTTGTGCTATTTCCACCCATTGTAATGGGTTTCTTTGTCTTTTTTTCTTGCTATCTTCGACGTCAAGTTTTTGCATTTCTCTGCTATTTGATATTTCTGTACCAATGAACATCTTTCTATACACTACCGATATATCTTGTCAGTAGCGCAGGCCACACAACTACTACTACTAATATCACTCACCTCACTGTTAATACTATCATCATTGAGCATCAAAAAAACTCATGAGGCATTCCGAGAAATTCATATCCGGATATCAGCTACCGACGAAAACTGAGTTGAAATTCATTCTTAGCAGTTGTAGAAGGGAGGATGCTCAACGAATTAATAGACGTACTGAAGGGGAGACAGAGTTAATGGGTGAGCAAAATGACAAATTTTAAAAAGGCTTAATCCAACAACCTGCTACCTACTATTTTGGTTGGACGCCAAATAGTGTCATGCGCATAATCTTTTGTTTACTGTAGACTGAATTCTATCAGTCTAGTTTGCAATGTGGCCAGCAAGGTATCCAATTAAAAAGCAACAAGTGGGCAGAAGAAGCATCCAGAGAAGACAGCACTTCATGTGGACATAGAGAAAACAGAGGTAGGCGATGAAGATTCCTAGTCAACAGCAACAACAACAGACAACAATCAGCATAAATGGGAGAAGCCTGAAAGAAACAACCTCCTTCACCTACCTGGGAAGCATCGTTTCAACTACAGGCGGACAGGACTGACGAGGATATCAAGTCAGGAGGATCGAGAAATCAAGACAAGCTTTCATTACTCCCAAGTCTATGCGGGGATCAACAGCACTCCTCAACATGAAAAATCAGCTCCGGATTTTCAACAGCAGTGTGAGGTCAGAGCTACTTATTATACCGATCAGAGACTTGGCGGGTCATGACGAGCACGTCCAACAAACTACAGACCTTCATCAACAGTTACCTTCTCTCAATACTCAAGATAAAATGGCCAGAAAAGATAAGCAACAGGGATCTTTGGAAGAGAGAACCAACCCAGCAGGAACTGATTGTTCAACAAACACGTAGGAAGAAATGGAGGTGGATTGCCTGGCCATACTCTGAGGAAACCATCAAGTGGCATCTCTAGACAAGCCTTCGAGTCGGACCCGAAAGGGAAGCGGGGAGTTGGCCGTCAGTGCAAGGGTGACTTGGAGAAGGTCATGTGAAGAAGAGATGAAAACATGTGGGCAGACTTTGAGCCAGGTGAAAACTCTAGCAGAGAACCGAACGCAATGGAGAGGCGCGGCTAAAGCCTTATGTTCCTCTGGGAATTAAAGGATATAATTATAATAATAACACTATGAGACTTTATCAAAGTAAATTTTACTTATGATGGAATTATACTTATAGACATTTCAGTGGCTACTACAATTAAACAGGTCCCATATATGTATATATATCAGGCAACTCTGACAGTAACAATCACCCGAAATTCATAGAGATAGATCATTTTTATATTAATTTGGCTAAACGTTGATGTATGTATAAATATTCAAATTGGTACAATGCCTTTTGAAGCATCACGCAGAAAGTGGAATTAAACAACATCAGGAATAAATTAGAATAGTAACACAACTGATTCTGACATGTGTAATCTTTGCTACTGAAAAGTGAAATTAACATCAAAAAATGTTACATAACAATGTGTTACAAAACAAAGAGAAGAAATAAAGCATACAGTAGATTATAGCAAGACAGAGAGAGAGAAAGAGAAGCTATTGTGGCCTAAAATTATTTGATAACATATCGTTGTAGATGGTGCCTTCGTGTTAATCAATGCTACGTTGTATCAAAGGGAGAGTGGGATATGAGTGAATAACCTAAAGCAAAAGTTAAACGGATAACCCTGTTTTTAGATAACACTTCGAAAGCCAGTCACAGGAAGTATTGATAGCCAGATGTTTTATCAGCCCAGTTTCGGACTCTTCATAAGTACGCACCCAACACTATGCTTCGAACTGAGAACACCTTTCAGTTACAAGGCAAGCTAGCTCATAAACTATTCAGCCACTAGGACGTGATCCAATGACACGCCCATGAATTCCAACATCTGCCAGTTCACTATACAGCGCTACAACTACCCGATGTCATCGATGGCGGTTATTTGTTCCAATATCTAACCATCTGACGTACCCTAATGGTCACGACTTCTCACTAAAATTCAGGTGCTAACTACCTACGTAAAAAGGACCAGCCACCAGTGAGCATCAGAGGAATATTAAGGTTTTGATGGTTTGTAGAGAATTGACTGGTTAGAGTATTTTGTCGTGAGCTGACATCGGTTAGTGAACCATCGCGCTGTATTGTAACAGGAAAATGTGCTGGGTTCAAACCCTGGCGGCAAGTGTGCACTGCACTAGGACAGAAAAGGTATCCAATACTCCCTGTGACTGGTTTTCCGGTGGTTCTCTAACCAATTTCAGCTTATGATGAAAATCCTGTATCCAATTAAATCCCTGAAAACCAACACTTGAAGATTTGATTTAAAAAACAGAGCGCGTAAAAACTTTAAATGTACACCCAACAAAAAACAACCACACTGCTAAATCGATATGATCAAATAACACACGGGGTAGGAGATAGATGAGAATAAGAGCGGTAGGGTTGGTTGGGAAGAAGAATGATGAAATTTAAAATCTACCTATTTAAACATACATTCGAACGAACAAACACCAACAAACCTACACACACGAACATGCTCACCACTCAACTCTGAATACACCAGCTTCGTAAATTCAGCTTTACAACCTGATAGACAGATCAATCATGACAATCGTGATGATTAGTGATGAAAAAAGTAGTAATGACCATGATAGTTGCGATAGTGTAGAGCAGAAGGAGAATAAAAGATAGCAGCGAAAAAGAAGAAGTCGAGATACGAGTAGGAGGAGAGAACGAAGAGAAGGTAGGAGTAAAAAGTGGAGAAGAGAGAGGAGGGTGGATGACATTCTGCTATGCAAACAGGCAATGTGACATGCCAAATAAAAAAAACAAAAACAAAACAAGATGAAAGTAGGAGGAGAGGCTGACTACCTGAATAAGTTGATCGCATGTATTGACCATGCTGTCTCATTGGATAATCGTGATCATATCCTATAATGATAATATTTTTTTAATAATAACAATAGTAACAATAATAACAGAGTGATTTTTGAAAATAGTTCATAGAATTTTAAAGTATTCTCATTATAATCTTTATTCCAACTTTGACCTTAATAATTTTTCATTTTGTATTGTTTCATTCAATTTTGGCGGCGACAGTTTGTTTAAAATTTGCGCTACCGGAAATCTTCATCATTATACCCCATTTAATTTGTCATATCCACTTTGTTTTAATCTATTGAAATATGACCTCCACTAGTGGTATTATTTCCTCTCGAAAGTATTTAAAATGTTTGTGAACTGCTGATCTGCAAGTCTCTACGAAACTTGGGTGGCAGCGTATCCCAATGCATGTGGCGACTGTTCCTGAGATTTCTAGTACAAACTGCCACTGCCTGAGAAATGACACTAACCAATTACTTCCAGTCTTTGATCATTCAGTTATGTCCTTAGGTCTTGAAATATACTCCTGAACTTTTTTCAACCTGACTTTTAACCAAACCTCGGGCGTTTGTCTAAGGAGACAAAGAAGAAGTATCATCATAAGGGATTGGTTTACTCTCCAGGTCAGAAAACATCGTGTCACAGGATCTATTGTTATTACTATTTTACTTGGGGATCCTAGACGAAAAGGAACTATCATGCACTGAATTCCCCTGATCTGAAACAACTTCAAATTGAAGTATGCGCTGAAGATATCACCCAGTAGGTTGATGAAAGCTTCGCAAATTAACCATCCAGCTCAGAGAACACAACCACATCAAAAACAACTTGAGTACATTGCTGAATGGGCGAAAGGTCAATCCGGTGTTCAGACCACCTCGATTTGATTAGCCAACAAGCGCCACTGGTTGATATGAGTGTTGCTGAAACTACTCGTCTCATTTAATCAGTCGTATGTAGCCATCTCTTCCAAATATTTTCGGGACTCTTCGGTTGTTTGTATACACGGTCCCACCACAACTAGAACCTGAGATCTCCGAGTTGCGAGAGTAACATCCTTAAGCATTCGACCATCTGAGCTGGGATTCCGTGACTTGTTAATTCTGATTTCGTCAACTTGTGATGCAGAGATAACCTCTCTGAGCTGGATAGTTAATCTGAGAAGCTTTCATTGCCCCACCGCTCGACAACATCTTCAGCGCATACTTCAATTTGAATTGAAGTGAGCTTTTGGATTTCTCCACGAGTTTATTAGTTATCTTTCCTGGTGAAGTATTCACTGGAGATTTCGCCTATTAGGGCAAAGAAAGCTTCTCAAATTAATTATCAAGCTCAGAGAACACAACCACATCAAAAGCATCTACACGAGCTAGAAATCTTCCCCATCATATCTAGAGTTAGCTTAATTCGACGCCTTTGGTGAGCACTGGTTTCATCTTGACACATACACATCAAAATCCAAGGCAGTGAAACAACTTTTTTGCATGTTGCTGTCATGAACTGTTTATTGATTATGTAATTAGTAATTTTGAAGTTTATACAGTCAACAAATCTTTGAAGTTGGAAAGATTTCTTTGCCGAGGTAAAGTTGAAACAAGCAACAACTGTGAAAATAAAGCTAAAGAACTTTGGTGAATTCGTAAATTGTTCAGTCATTAAATCCACAGTGGACCTGATCTATCCTAACACTGGATGAGTATTTTTGGTTTTCGTCAACTGTATGTTTCCCCCCCCCTTGGCCCCTGGTAAATTTCTTCCCTTTATTACCACTGTTATTAACTTGACTCGCGTTCAATTTTAGCTGAATTTCAGTCAACCTTGTTAGTTATGTCGAAAACAGACAGACAGTTACTTTACGTAACCTAATTCATAACGTGGTCAGTAATACGGACGATTTCGTTAACCCCTTCGATGGAACCTACACAAATTCTACAGTCACTTAAGGAGGAGGATCAGAGTGGTGAATAAGTCAAGAAACACGATGATTTTCAATTATTCCAATGAATTTATAAACAGGAATTGGCTTAATCTAAATATGAGGACCCCTACAAGAATTTGGGAGGCCTCTTTTGCAACATATACAAGAAAGTTATTATATAAACTACATTTTAACGTTGCATTACTTATGGATAAACGTCTTCTGATTGGTCGATAGGGACTTTTCAGGGTTCCTTATTCGGCTGGAATAGATTAGAGTCACCCAAAAAAGACATACGAATGGAAATATTGAAAACCACGAAAAAAGAGACACGACAATGACAAAAGAAAACTCACTTGAAGGAAAACTTGGTATAGTGCCAGAACGACCACCTGTACTAGAATATTCTAATCGATAAGAAAGACTATGACCACCTCGACGATCTCTTCTGGTATCACGTGAAGGAGCTTCGAAGAAGGCATGAGGGAAAGTGAAAATTAAAGAAAATGATATTAATGATGTTAAGAATAATATCAAATTAAATGCCATGTCTTTTATTAAGGTGCTTGTCAATACAGGGATTACAATCTATTTCAGAATGTAACACTTTATCAGAGAAAAATCCTGAATTCGACTGAATACGTATCCATTTGATTAGTACTGTCGCAACGACAGAAGACAAGATTCAGGCAACAGGTCATTTATTGAGAAAATCAAGAAGTATTTATAGATTTTTATGTACATTATTATTAGCGTTATTGTTAGCATTTTAAGTAGTCAATGACCACAGAAGTAGATCTAGCGTTAAAGTTGTGATCAAGAAATAATTTCATTGAACAACTGCTTGCCACAAGGTTTAAACCTTCAGAAAATCGACAACCAATCAGAACAATTTATTGTCCATTGACCTAACCGATCGGAAATCTGCTGGAAAATGGATAAATTTGGTGTGTTTTCCATTATTAAAAAAATTCTGTTACGAAGTCTCTTATCTTCGCTTATTACAATATTACCTACCAAAGGAGATAGGAAGCAAACGCCTGTGGGGAAAGGCAGTTAGCCTCCTCTTTTGAACAAGTTAAATCATATCGTGTGATTGGAAAGCATGAACAATTACAAAAGTATTTTAGAAACAATTATATGTAGCCACTTAAAGGATATTAAAAACAACAGAAGTTGGAAAAGTTGAGTAAAAAAATGTTAAGTGGACAAGAAGATTGACAAGTGAAATACCAACAATTACAACAGCATCAACAACAGAAGAATAGAACACAGTGTGATTCCCTGCAGCACAAGTATTTATTTGGTCAAATATGTGATGGACAGAAGTGATTTTTTTTTTAAATCTTTTATTACCACTTCACTTCTACACGTCTTCTACAATCTTTCAAAAGAATCTTTATTTCCGCCATCTTCCCCACTTCATCCGTTGCTCCAGCATTCAAGAATCTCATGGAAGATATCACACACAATATACTACTCAAAACTTCTCAGTAGTGCGTGGGAGTCAAAGAAGTATTTTTTAGGGATTAAACAAATTTATTGGCAGATTTTGTTGTGAAATGCCCCAGTAAAACTATCTAAACAGTTCCGAAGACATTTCTATATATATATATATATATATATATATATCAACTCGCCGTCCAAAAAAGACGGTCTGTACAAGGGGAAGTCAGATAAAGACTCGATAAAGCTATCAATAGAACTCATTATGCTACAAAACTCGTCTTCCTTAATATCGAAAACCAAATGGGTGCTTCAACAATCTAGAAAAGAATATTTAAAACGTTTTAAAATTCCCCTTTACGTTCAGAGCGGAAAATAAAGCTGTACACCAGTACATCTCGATTCCATTCTGTTTTCTGAAATCCTTTGTAGCTTGCTACACAACTTTTAGTATGTTCTAATTTGCTCCACACACACACACACGCACACACATAAATAATCTCCATCTAACTGACAAACACACGCTGAACTCATTGTTTCTCATTCATGTTCCAATTGAGGGTTTGGCATGCGATATTCTTGTGATAGGAAGTCACTGGATAATACACTGGATTTGGTGTTCCAAATATACGCTTATGTTATCTTATCATTATTTGACTTCGTGGAGGAATTCATCGTAAGCTGACATCACTTAGAGAACCAGTGGAAAATTTACAAGGAGTACTGAACAGCTGCTTTGTCCTAGTTTGCGAATCTTCAGCAAAAATGGTCGCACTGAATTGACGAAAATTAGAATTCATGCACAGGCCATTGGATCGGGTCCCGACAGCGCAATGGTCTGCAAACTCGCCTTGTAAACAGAAGATCCTGGTTTCGAGTCCTAGCGGTTGGCGCATACTGATGAAGAGTTCCAAACTAGGACGAAGTAGCTGTCAAGTACTCCCAGGTTTTCCAGTGGTTCCCTAAGTGATGTCAGCTCATGATGAAATCTTCCATCCAATCAAACAAAATCCCTACGAAATCAATAATTGAAAGTTCTTATTATTTCTCTATTCCTTTGCATACCGAGCGAGACACAGGGTTCAAAACCTTCAGCTCTGAAGTTTCAGTAGGGGTAAATTTACTTACTATTATTAATATTTTTTCCTCTTTTCCGGGTTTACTGCATACCGTGAATAAACAAGGCGACGTTTGGAAGTTCGTCGGTCGAGTATCAAACGTGGGTTTTGTCATCGCGTTAAATCGCAAATTACTCAGAGCTTCAGTTGTGCAAAGATCTGGACTAAGTTCCTCTGAACAGATAAATCTTGTCCTGTGTGTAGTTATGAAGGAGGTAATCACCGATGATGATACATCAATATCAGAAGAGTAATAATTTGTGTTTTCTAGAATCCAGCTGTTGACAGTCAAACACATTCTTTACTCCACAAACAATATGAAACTTGAAATAATAGAGACAATCTGTAGACGCAGTGGGGGTTGGATTATTTCTTCATAATTCACAGAATAACTCAACCTTGCAAATCTAGGATTTATGATCGGTAGAATGCCAACCTTGGTGACTGAACGGTTGATTTATAACCCGAAGTCCCTGGTTTCGACCGTCTGGTGCCAAAGTGTCTCACACCAGACCAAAATGGAATTTCAGTGACCTTTGATTTTCAGAGATCCCGTAACTAATATCAATTTATGACGAAATGTTCATGTGACGTGAAATACACACGCGAACAGAAAAATAAAAAGTAGCAAATCGTGCTTACGAATTTTAAAGAATTACCTACACATACACACACCGACACGGACAAGAGCAGACAGTCAAGAGATGAACTTACATGTATATCCATGTCGTTTATATCGTGTTTTATACCCAGGTTCAACATTCGCATTCGGTGATCGTGATGCTGATATTGGATCCAAGTCAACTTCATGGATTTGTGATTTACTTGCTTCCAGCTCTTGAATTAACGCCTTTAAATGATAATGAATAAACAATAAATATGAATAGGTCAATTAAAAACTTTGATTCACTTTTATTAGCTTTTGTTTTACTGAGACATATAAATTGTCTCATAGTGGTGAATGAATTTTCAAACTTGAAGTTTTATCCACAAACGTTTCAGTGTTCATCTGGTCATTATCTTCAGTGCAACTTTACTCCAACAAATTAGCGTATTTTAATTCCTATTTCTGCTTGTTCTAACGGACAACCTTCTTTGTTAGCCATCAATCAAGTGGTGATTTATAAATGAACTGACATGAAAGCCTAATTGGACAGTTTCGATTGGTTAATTTATGGCTTAATTTTCTGAGGGATTTAAATGTTATGCAGCCAATCAAATTTGTGTATTTATTTGTGGCTTTATTTTCTAAGGGTTCGTACGCACAAGGATACCAAATATTCTTTTTAAACAAAGGTTACTGTTGTTCCGATCTTCTTTTTTCAAGTCTGACCTTCGTATCGATCTCAGTGTGTGCAGGAAATAATTTCAAGTGACTAGTTGGTTATATCATCGTGGTCTAGGGGGTGCATTCTATTCAGCAACCTAGAGAAAGTGACGAAATCAGTTACAACACGTCATAGCAATTCTTTATTGTTAAACACTAGAATTGATAATAATTATAAAACTTCGCGGAATACACCCATTGGATCATAGGAATTATTAAAAAAACGGTTTTAGCGAAGAAAATTTTCTTTTTAACCAAGTTACCGTCAACTGGATAGCTGTACATTCGTGTATTTATGACAAGTGGGTGCGAAAGTTCCAGAATAATTTTCGGTCAAGAGTCAAATTAATAAAATTACAGTTGAGAATCAAAATACCATAATAAACAAAGGGGTCAGGCGGATAAAGCTCAAACAGATTAGCATCATAATTAGTGAGAAGATTGACAGTGATTATGCGATTAGGGTTGAGAAATGTAGAAGTAACAACAATAGATAGACAGGATGTTTGGATTACGAAATCTAGTGGGATCATAACTAACGTGACAAATAATTGTTTATGCAATCAGGGTTTAAATATGTAGAAATAATAAAATGACAAAATAGACAGGAAGTTCGGATATGAAAATATGGTAGTGTAAATAGGGACTAAGAAAAAGTTAAAAATAACAGGATGTTTGGATAAGAAAGCCAATGGGACAGTCACTATTAGGAATATTACCTGTTTATGGTGGCCATGACAGGAACAAGGGTTGGACGTATTTCTTTTGGATGCATAACGTGTGTTTCAACTTTTGGATAGCTAGTGCCTCAGATGTCATAGTTTCATTCTTTTTGATAGGTTAGATCTAATCTTGCATATGACTCTGAAGGATTTTTCAAAAGGCGGTGAATGTCCTGAATTGACCAGATGTTCCGTCACCGAACTATACACACGTTTCCGTTCCCCTTCTTCTAGCCATGTTGGACAGCGTTTACGACCGCGTTTTCCAAGTTGGCGCATGGTACGGCCGATGTACTCAGCTAGTAAGCTGGTATATGCACGTTGAGTTGGCCCAGTGCGACAGCTTGTCTTTAGCGTTCTGGCTAAATAATTTGTTGCGGGAAAACTTCTATCGAAGGCTCGTGGCAGAATATATTTTCCTTAGAGATTTGCAGAGCCGTTTACGAAGGATTCTTCTACAATGCCACCTTTGAATTCTAGATTAAGCAGAACTATTTTCTTCGGGACTTGTTCGGAGTTCTTTTTGGATTTGAGATTCTTGTCTGTCAACCTGGGTGTGAAACCGTTTTCCATCAGAGTACCTTGGAGATTACGTAGTTCTTCGTCAATCACTTCCTCGCTGCATATCTTCCAAATCCTCAAGGTTCCTCTTTCTGCTAAGAGGCACGAAATTTTGAAAATTGATGAATTGTTCATTCCACGTAGGCTTTTTGTATATAAACCTTTTCAGAGAGTTGTTGGAGTTTTCTTGTCAGATTGACGTTGAGGAAGTGGAACAGCTTCAAGAGTAAAGTCGATGTTTTGATGGGCATTGTTGAAGGTTTACAGTAAGTTTTCAAGGTCAAGGTTGTCATCATAAATGATGAAAGTATGATCAGTGTATCTCTTGTAGAGATGGAGGTCGTCGATAGTTGATGATAAAGCAGTTGTTTTTTACACTTGTCATAAAAATTCTACAATAACATATTTGGCAGGCATTTTATATTACGCAAATAATGTCAGACGCGAAATAACTAACCTTCTTTCCACAAGTAAATAAACAATTTTCCCTCATTCTTATACCAAAAAGTCTTAACTGTTATTATTCCTATTGTATTTACAGTGGCCTTGTTTCCTTTTGTTGTTTTTTTTCAGAATTGTAAGCACATGTGAATTGTATAATAATTTTATTGTTCTGCTTTTCCCTTTATCATGCGGCTATGTCAAGAGAATATTGAATTCAATATTCCATAACATGCTAAGATTTCCATACTGCATTGATAATATTGTTTGATTGGATGGAGGATTTCATCATGAGTTGACCTTAGTTAGAGATCCGCTGGAAAATATTCAGGTAACTACTGGACAGTCGTTTCGCCCTAGTTTAGGACTCTTCAGCAATACGGACCCACCTCACTGGGGCTCGAACCCAGGACCTTCTGGTTACAAGACCAGCGTTCTCGTAGACCGCTGAGACATTGAGACCCAAGCCAGTGGCCAGCCCATGAATTCTAGCTGCTGTCAATTCATGACATAGCGCGACCATTTCGCAATGTATTCTTCGATGAGTTACTGCCAAACCTTTAACCGGCTGTACCCTAATGGCCACTAGAACCCCAGGTCACTGCTTGAAAGTACCAGTCGCTAGTGAGCATCAGATTAATTTTCAGTGGGTGCATGCTGCCGAAGAGTCCCGAACTAAGATGAAACAGCGGTCCAGTAATCCCAGTTTTTCTATTGGTTCTCTAACTAATGTTAGATAATGCTGAAATCCTCCATTCAATCAAACAAAATCCCTACAAAACCAATAAGTGAATATTGTTTGAAACAAACCTACTATCATTATCACTGTGATTATTATTAATATAGACATTTTTCTCATTTTGCACATAAATGACATTATCCCTACCTTAAATACAGAAAAGTTCCTATGATTAACTTTATTGATTGAATAACAGATTAGTTATGGGGTGTCAAAATAAATAGTGATAATCGTGCTAGGCTGAAATCGCTTACAAAATATTGTAAAACGGGAGACAATGGTGGTGATTAATCATAATAGGTTTGTAGAGTGTGGGGTAGGAAAACTGTCAAGTTAGCGAGTTCAAGGTTGTAGAACGTGTCAGGTGAGTGGCTAGTACAAAGTGGTCTGTGTTAAACAGGAGATAGTAAGACTACACTGAGAGGTTCATAATGAGATAACAAATGTGTGAAATGAAACAGGTGGAGGTATATATTGAGAAAAGAGGTAATATCACTAATAATAATAAGTCCGGATAGTATAAATGAAAAATTCGATAGTATTGAGGGAATGTTTGCATAAAGGGCATAAATTATGACGAATATTAATAATAATTGTAATAATAAGCAAAGAAAGAAAAACAACCAAGAGGGTTAAGGGGAAGGAGCACTCTTGGTGAGAAGAAAAATCTTCAATCCAAGGTTGGCCACGGTAGGAACAGCGTCTGGACGTGTTCTTTTTTGGATACAAAGTTCCGGTTTAGTCGATCTTATTGTGGCCAAACTTGGATGGATGATTCTTCTTCTCACCAAGAGTGCTCCTTCCCCTTAACCCTCTTGGTTTTTTCCTTTTCTTTGCTTATTATTACAGTTATTATTATTATCGTCATAATTTATACCCTTCATGCAAACATTCTCTCAATACTATCGAATTTTTCATTTATACTATCCAGACGTATTATTATAAGTGATATTATCTCTCTTCTCAATATATGCCTCCACCTGTTTCATTTAACAGATTCGTTATCTCACTATGAACCTCTCATTCCAGTCTTACAATCTCCTGTTCAAGACAGACCACTTTGTACTAGCCACTCACCTGACACCTTTTATAACCTTGAACTCACTGACTTGTCAGTTTTCCTACCCCACACTCTACAATTACCGTCTCCCATTTCACCGAAATGGAGATGATGAAGATTCCTAGCCAACATCAACAACACCAACAGACCACAATAAGCGTAAATGGAAGAACCTGAAAGAAACAACCTCCTTCACCTACCTGGGAAGCATCGTCTCAACTACAGGCGGAACTGACGAGGACATCAAAGCCAGAATCGGAAAAGCAAGACAAGCTTTCATTAATCTCAAATCTGTGTGGAGGTCAACAGCAATCAGCATCAAAAATAAGATCCGGATTTTCAACTCCAATGTGAAGTCAGTGCTACTATACGGATCAGAGACTTGGCGAGTCATAAAGAGCATCTCAAACAAACTTCAAACCTTCATTAACAACTGTCTCCGCTCAATACTCAAGATCAGATGGCCAGAAAAGATCAGCAACAGGGATCTCTGGAGCAAACCAATCAGGAACCGATTGTGAAACAAATAGGCAGAAAGAAATGGAGATGGATTGGCCATACGCTGAGGAAACCATCAAGTGACATCACTAGACAAGCCCTCGAGTGGAACCCGAAAGGGAGGCGGCGAGTTGGTCGTCAGTGTGAGGGTGACTTGGAGGAGGTCATGCGAGGAGGAGATGAAAGCATGTGGACAGACCTGGAGCAGGGTGAAAAAGTTGTCAGAAAACCGAAGTCAATGGAGGTGCGCAGCTGAAGCCCTATGTTCCTCTAGGAACTAAAGGATACAATAATAATAATAATTTCACCGAAATATTTTGCAATCGATTTCAGCCTAGCACGACGTTAATCACACAAATACGACTATTTATTTTGACACCCTATAGCTAATTTGTTATTCTCTAAGTTATAAAAAATGTATCCACCGCATAACTGGCCAATATTACTGTAAAGAAAACAAAAAGTATTAAATTTTATCATTGTAAGAACCTGAAGAGGAGAA